TCGTTTTTCACATTCTCAGTCCTTTTTCTACCGATGTCATTGGTACCGATGTGTACCATGCCTGCTGGTTGCTCACCCTCCCCCTTAAGGATCTTGAAGACACGATCCGAGACATCACGGACCCTGGCACCCGGGAGGGAACATACCATCCTTTCATCTCGTTCGCGTCCACAGAACCGCCTGTCTGTGCCTCTTACTATTGAATCCCCCACTACAATTGCTCTCCTATTCTCCCCCCTTTCCATCTTTGCCACAGGGTCAGGCTCAGTGCCAGAGACCTGTCCGCTATGGCCTTCCCCTGGTAGGTTGTCCCCCCACAACAGTATCCAAAACGGTATACTTATTATTGAGGGGAACGGCCACAGGGGATCCCTGCACTGTCTGCCTATTCCCTTTCACCTTCCTGACAGTCACCCAGCTACCTTTTTCCTGTACCTTGGGTGTGACCACCTCCCTGTAACTCCTCTCTATCATCCCCTTAGCCTCCCGAATGATCCGGAGTTTATCCAGCTCCAGCTCCAGTTACCTAACACGGTTTTTGAGGAGCTGGAGTTGGCTGCACTTCTCACAGGTGAAGTCAGAGGGGTCACCAGCAGTGACCCTTACCTCCCACATCCTGCAAGAGGAGCATGCAACTGCCATGGCTTCCATTCCCTCTACTCGAGACTTCCAGAAGAAGAATAAACAAAAAACCTTACCTTACTGAACCTCCACACAGTCTTTTTTGGTTAGAGGAGGAGGACGGGTGGAAGACACTACATGTGTAGTGTTTCGGGTTTAGCCAATGCCCGAATTTATCTGTTTCTTCCTGGCTCGCGTTCCCTCCACACACCTGCCGCTGAAAACAAGAGGGCCGCTTGCTGCATGAGGTAAGTTTTTATACCTTTAGATTTTATTGTCGCATGCACTCAAGTACAGAAGTAGAGGTGAAAGGTGTATAATGTCGCCACATTAGGTGCCATCTTAGGTAAAAAGGTACCTAGATTCAAAAAAACTTAGGTACAAAGTAGTAAGAGAAACAGAGTTAAAAAGTTAAGCATTACCTTCAAAAAATAAGTAGAAAAATAAAGAAATAAAATATTTATTAACATTAAAGTCTTTTTAAATTTAAACAAGAAACTAAAGCAATTAAGTTAAAAGTATTTTGAGTGCTCCGCTTAGCTTGCTCTCTGGGAGACCTCAGCTGCCTGTTCGATGCTGCTGCAGATACCAGGGGACCTCCTTCACTGCTTGCTCTTCCCATGTTGGCCACGATGCCATCGCTGCTGCTGAAACTGCTGCCTCCCTGATCTCCCTTGGTGCCTTGGGAACATGCCCAGGCAGGACCCACTCATACACTCAGCTGAGGCACTGCCAACAGGGGCCGAGAGACCAGGCTGAGAGACTGGGCCAAGACCTGTCCCAAGTAAGGAGGAAAGCTTTAAACTACGGGATGATATAGACTCTCTGATCAAATGGTCTGAACAGCAGAAAATGGAATTTAATCCTGATAAGTGCGAGGTGATGCACAAAATGAATGGTAGAACCCTATGAAGTACCAAGAATCAGAGGGTCACTGATCCTTCAAGATAGCAGGAACAATGGATAAGCAGCAGAATCTCGTAGGGTTCTGAATGATATGGGCTATGACAAGATTTGTGACAGAATGGGATGAGAAATCCAGTGAGGCTCATCTCGTTATTGAGAGCATCTCGCTGCATCTTTTGTGTATTTGCTCAGTGGTAAAGTGAGTTTCTTACTAGGCAGTGATGATGAGCCAGTCAAGGGGGATTAACACCTTATTAATGGTACAACTCACCTCAGCTTCCTGTCTTACAAGTTCAAAGCAGGTGCACTGAGACCTTAGCTCGCCACTTGCTCCAAAGGACATCTATGATGGACACGGGTCACCAACATGTCAGAGCAGGCTCCATGGGCATTGGCCGAACAAATCCCAAATCCACAGATGTTGGCAGTGGACATGTGTCAGTCTCTGAGAATGCTCCTGGCACATCTCTGGTCCACTTATAATCACCTTCTGGACTTCATTGCTGCACTTCGAGGCATAATGCCAACTATTATTGTATTGTTGAAGCAAGAACACTTTGCGCTCAGGGACACACACCCAACTCAAGAACTGGACAGGCTACATCTCCGGGCTCTTTGCTGCTGTTATAGTACTCACTCTGAGCCCATTTGGATGATCACAGCTTCTTCACCTTGTATTACCTTGCCTTGTCTTTTCATGCTTTCGCCCTCAGTGAGAGATACCAAGCTCAGTGTACTGCTGTACTGTCATGCATTTTAGCCTAGGCATAAAACTAGGAAGCTTGTCACAGTTGTCAGCAATCTTCAGTCAAGTCAAGGGAGATAGCCTTCGCTCAGAGCGTCCTGGGACAGAAGTCAAAAGCAGCCTCCACACAGTCCAGGGGCTTGGGTGGCTATTTGGGGTGATTGGAGTCATGAAGCTCTCCTCAACGGGCTGAGGGGCTGGATGTCAGGGAACCCAGCACCCACCTTGCGTTGTTTTGCTTTAATGGGGGCTGTGTTCCTTCTAGAATGAGACAGAGGCAGGTATTATGGAAGGTGAAAGTGGGTGGTGCAGCTGTTAGTTTGGGTGGAGGTGGGGAGCTGTCCTGGGTGAGTGAGTAGAACATGCAGGGTTAGTGTTGGCAAGGGTTGGGCTGGGTGACAGTGAGTGAGGAAGAATATTACAGGTTCTACTGAGACTGATAGAGCATGAGCCTTGGAGGAAGCTGGGTGCAGTGGCAGAAATCAAACGAGTGTAAGGTATCAGAAAGAAGATGGTGGCACTTCCGCTGGTGGAGTGGTAAGGATCATGACGTCCTTCCTACAATGTTGGGTAATCCTCCAGACAGCTGAGACTGCATTAAATGGAGATGGGTACCTGGGACCAGGTTGGCATGGCCTGGTGTCATGGTCTTCTCCACTAAACCTAGGGGTAGAGGACACCCTGCCTGTGCACCACCCTGTCCAGGTGGACCCCCAGGTCCTTGCCTGCAAAACGAACACCAAATTTCTCTTGTTAACATTTCAGGTCTGGTGACCCTTCCTCAGAACACCGGACCTGAAATGTTAACTCTGATTTTTTCCTTCACAGATGCTGCCAGATCAGCTGAGCTTTTCCAGCAACTTCTGTTTTTGTTCCTGATTTACAGCATCCGCGGTTTTGTTTTTGGCTTTACCAAATTTCTCTTGTTTGCCATGTTGGGGGCATATGTCAGGAACTGTACCAGGCAACTGATGGACAGTGTTGGTTTGGGTGCGTGATGCCTTTTTAAACGTGGCACTGTTTAATTGACCAGGGTTGCTGGTCAATTCCAGGGTATCCTGGCAGTGGCAGGTTGGCTGGGGAATCACACATGGTAAAATGGGGCTAGAATCAGACAAGAGGGTCAGCAAAGATGTGGACAGGTTTGGTAAGATACGATGATAAAACTTACTAGGGCTCGTGGCGAAAAGCCCTCCAACAATATAAGTTTCAGCCCGAGGAGGTTAGAAAGGCAAATGGGATACTTGCGTTTATTAGCCAAGGCATTGAATACAAGAGTGAGGAGTTTAGAAAGAGGCTGTATATAAGGTAAGCAAGGCCACTGTGTGCATTTCTGGTTGCCACACTATTGGAAAGAATGCGATTCCACCAGAGTGGGTGCACTGGAGATTCACCAGGATGTTTCCTGGGATGGAGAGATTTTGCTAGGAAGATTAGATAAACCATGGTTGTTTTCCTCAGAGCAAAAAAAAACTGGAGGTGGGGGGAGGGGAAGTCACCTGAATGAAGTTTACAAAATAATGACGGGAAAAGGAAAATCCCTTTCCCCTTATTAAAGGGTTCAAAGAGGCAGCATCAATTTAAGGTAAAGGGTAGAAAGTTTAGAGGGGATTGAAGGAAATTCTTTGCATTCAAAGAGTGGGGTTGTACCTGAAACTTATTGCCTGAAATGACAGGAGAAGCTGGAACCCTAACATCTAAAAAAAAGGCATCATGTGTCATTGTAGTCCTGGTGGGCCAAAAGGCCTGTTTCTATGCTGTTCTGTTCTTTGTCCTTTGTATTTAGACTTGAAACATCATATCATGCATAGCAATGGGCCAAGTACTGGAAAATGAGATTGGAGTAGATAGGAACTTGATGACCAGCACAGACATAATGGGCTGATGGGCCTCTTTCCATGCTGTAAAACTCAGTCTATGACTCTACAACCCTTTAGAGACTCTTTTTGTATCCCTCTGATATCTTATTTTCCTACCTACTTTATGTCATCAGCAAATCTGACTACAATTCAGTCTGTCCTTTCATCCAAGACTCTTATACTTGGGGCCCTAGTACTGACCCATGGGACACTCACTAGTTATTATTTACCAGCCTGAATATGACCCGTTTTCCTGAGTCTTTCTTTCATGCTAATTAGCCAATCCTCCATCTTTATTCACCTATTGACTCCAAAACCATGAACTCTTACCTTGTGCGGTAATCTTTTATGTAGCACTTTTTCAAATGCCCTTTGGTTCCCGTTTATCCACCTGGCCTATTACACTCTCAATGAACTTTAATAAACTTATCAAACATGGTTTCTGCTTCACAAAGGCACGTTGACTCTGCGGATTGTATTGAAGCTTCAACTGTCCTGCTCCAAACTTCTTCATAATTGTTTCTAGCATTTCCCACTGACAGTTGTCAGCCTGAGTGGCCTACAGCTTCCTGTTACTGTCTCCCTCTTTTCTTCAATAGAGGTAATTTATTGCTTGCAAATATTTTACAGGATATTCCATTAAGTTTGAAGAGTTGTTTACAATAGGCCTTTGCCCAAAGGAGCTATTACGCTGATCATTATCATTAATCAGGAATGTTGGATTTCAAAGTTTATAGTTCCTTCAGAAGTTACAAAGTATCAGATGGCAATGTATCTAAACATTGCTGCGAAGTTGCTTATATGCCATGTAAAAACATATTGCTCAAGAATTTGTGTAAAATATAACTTTCTTAAAAATTTTTGTTAGCTCTGAATACTGTTACCTTCAGTTTAGGGTTTCTGAAATCTTGCCAAAAGTAGGAATGTTCCTATCAACAACAGTGAAACTTTATCTGGTTGAGCCTGTTGATTGAAACAGTGTGTAAAAGTTACAATAGCACAGCCTTTTGAGAGAAACAACTGGAAGACTGCTAGAAAGCAACTGAGAATACTGAAGCAAAAACTCACCTCCTGACCCCCCCAAAGCCTGCCCAACATCTACAAAGCACAATTCAGGTGTATGATGGAATACTCTCCACTTGCCTGGATAGGTGCAGCTCCAACAACACTCAAGAAGTTTGACACCATCCAGGAAAAAGCAGCCCGCTTGATTGGTATCACATCCACAACCATCCACTCTGTCCACAACTGACATTAAGTAGCAGCAGTGTGTGCTATCTTCAAGATATATTGCAGAAATTCACCAAAGCTCCTTAGACAGCACCTTCCAAACCCATCGCCATGGACAACAGCAGCAGATACATGGGAAGACCACCACCTACAAATTCCCCTTCAAGCCAATCACCATCCTGACTTGGAAATATATTGTCATTGCTTCATTGTCACTGGTCCAAAATCCTAGAATTCCCTCTTTAATAACATTGTGGTCTACCTACAGCACATGGACTGCAGCGGTTCAAGAGGGGAACTCACCACCTTCTCAAGGACAACTAGGAATGGGCAATAAATGCTGTTCCAACACCTAAATGAAATTTTAAAAACTGTTTTGAATCTATTGAAGCTAGAAGTCACCTTAGAGTCTCTGTGTCACATAAGTGACAGAGAAATGTCAATCACTCAGGACTCCAGTCACACCTCAAAAGGGCAAAAGGATTTGAATAGGTTTGGGGGGGATTAAAAATGTACAATGTGAAGGGAATTAAGCATGCAGAAACTGATCCTATCTGACATACTTGGCGCTAATGTTCCCCTAGACCATGTGGGTACATGACTGGGCAGTAGCCTGGATGTTACTGGGCAGGCCTACTGTTCTTTGTGAAAAATATACTCATGCAGTTACACAAATAAGTTTCAAAGGACACTGCTTTGAAAAGAAGGTCTGTGATATCTGTGAGGATAAGGGTGAAGTTTGTTGAAATGACAGCCAGAATGATAACTATGCTGCCTTCGAGCAGGAACCTGACTAAAAGAGGGAGGAGGATGGGAACAGATAACATCCATCATGATCAGGATCAAGAGTCCCACACAATATGCAGCCAGGCTGAGGAACACCTTGAATAGACTTGGAAGGAGATGATGAAGGTGGGGATTTAGTCGTTGTGTTTTATGCTGACAAGAGTGGGTAAGATGCCATATTCACAGAGTATTGGGAGATTTGAGCTGTGTTAAAATATGGTACCTTAAAGTGTCTTGGCAAAAACATTCAGAAACTATACACATGGCTAAAGGAATTCCTTTTAATGGGCCATTGGTAGCAGTACTGGGATAGCAAGGAACTGAAATGTTAGGACCAGGGGTCCTGGTGAACAATTTGGATAGGGCAACCAAAAGGACTTTAAATTAATAAAGTAGATGTATGAGATGCAGAGGCACATTTGGAAAAAGCAGTATGTATAAAAATTCAAAATAGAAAGTGAATGAGTAGAACAATTCTCAATTGTTCTGCCTGTTACACTGTAATTGAAAGTAAAACTGAAAGAAGTCAAGCAATTAAATTAAAAGAAGTAAATAAGAAATGTATGAGATGCAACAACATTAGAAGGGAATGTGTAGCCCAAATGATTTGTTTTTTAAAATTTTTCTAATCAACCCGTTCAGAATTGATACACACTTCTGGACCATGTGAGATTTGAACCCAGACTTCCTAGTCCAGAGTTAGGGGCACTACCACTGGGCCACAAGAGTCCTCCCAAATGATTGTTCTTTTTCAAAAATACTAATTATAGTTTATTTTTGTAGCGTTTTAAACAATCAACCTGTTCTGGAGCAGGGTAGGACTTGAATCTAGTGTTATGATCAGGTCAGGATAGAAAATTAGCTTCCTGTTTTTAACACCTCCTCAGTCAATAACTGCAAATATTTTGATTTCTTGTTGTACACAGCTATTATACTCCATATGTAGTTGGTTAGAAAATGAAGGAACAAATTACTAAGGCTTTCTTGACTGAAAGGAAGAATTTTATTATCCACTAATCACAAGAAAAAAAACCCAAAAACTTGACGTTAAACACACACACACACAAACACAGGTAATAAAGTTTAAATGGGAGAATATCTTATATAGACAGGGAGAAATAATTCTACAGAGTTTCAAAATCATTGGAGTCTTTTAGCTATTAGATTTGAAACTTGAGGTGATGGTTAGTCAATTGTCAACTTATATCCATAGTAGTACCTGAAACCGTAGATATCTTTGCATTCACAATGAATGATTTCCCAACTTGCTTTTACAGGCTTGAGGGGCTGAATGGCCTGCTCCTATTTCCAGTTTGTAGGTTTGTTTGTCCTAAGAGGCCAAAAAAATGACTAAAGTATAAAGTATAAACATAATGCTTAAAAAATAAACATTGAAAGATGCAAAAACTAGCACGGTATGAAGAACGGTAGAGGGTGACAAAGCCAAATAACAAGAACTACAAAAAAGTATGGTAAGAAACTGATAGGTGATGTTAAACAAAACATCTCCATTACATTGGGAAAATATTAAAAAAAAAACAAAGAACTGCGGATGATGGAAATCAAATGAAGTTCTGAAGAAGTGTCTCTGGACCTGAAATGTTAATTCGGTTTTCTCTCTATAGAAACTGACAGAACTGCTCAGTTTTTCCAGCAATTTCTGTTCTTGTTTGGGTAAAAAGAAACTGGTTGAAATATGGGACGCTTGAAAACTTCCAATGATAATTTTATAAACTAAAATAAGGAAAAGAAACATATTAGATTAATAAATTGCATCAGATTTTAGAGTAAAGAAAGAGGTTAGCATGTTGAACATCCCAGGGAAACTAATATACATCCAGAGGGCACAGCTCACCAAAAGTGTTAGAAGCAAATTAACGGCAATGAATAAAATAATGGCACTAAAGACTCTCAAATCACAGACCATATGCTTTTTAATCCCTGCGTTGTAAGGAAAATAAGGCTAAAAGGTGAAAACACTGCAGATTTCCGAACTGTGATGCTTACTAAATTCTCTCTATTTAGGAACCATTTGTTTAGACTGGAACATGTCAGTCTACTACTTAAAAAAAAGATGAGGTAAGGAAATCAGGGAATTATAGGCCAGTTAGCGTAACATCTGTTTCTGGGGAAGTACTAAAGTCTATATTTAAGCATTGAATGAGTGAACACTTTGAAATGTTTCAACTGGTCCGAGTGGATTTGTAAAGGGTGGGTCATGTCTGACAACCCTAACTCAAATTCTTCAAGAAGTGATGAAAATGGTAGAATGGGAATGTCTGGAAAGAGTATTTAAATAAACATCAAATAAACATAAAAATATATCAACAGAGAACCATAAGAGAGATTATTCTTCCACTGCTTTCTGCAGCAGACAGCTTCAAAGTTGCACAATGTGCTGACTGGCATCAGAGAAAGGGGGACTGCCTGCTTCCTGGCAGCATCCTTTGTGACATTTTCGTGCCATTTTTGCCATGTTTGTGCTCCTTGTTCATTCCCTCATGACCTACCATAGACCCCAGGTAACAGCAGTATCCTTTAGGAGTCAGCCAACTCTATCAGTAATGATACTAATGAGCCACTCTTGGTGATGGACATTGAAGTCCCTCACCCAGAGTACATTCTGTGCTCTTTGTCACCCTCAGTGCTTCCTCCAGGCACCGTTCCCGAGGATTACGGATTCATCAGCCCAGCGAGGGTGATACGTGGTAACCAGTGGGAGGTTTCCTTGCCCATGTTTGATGTGGTGTCATGAGATGTCACGGGGAGGAATCCAAGGGCAACTCCCTCCTGACTGTGTACCACTGCACCACCACCTCCACTGGGTCTGTCCTGCCAGTGGGCCTGAACGTATCCAGGAATGGTGATGATGGTGTCTGGGACATTGTCTGTAAGGTATGATTCTGTGAGTATGACTGTGTCAGGCTATTGCTTGTCCAGTCTGTGAGACAGGTCTCCCAGTTACGGCACTAAGCCCCAGATGTTAGTGAGGAGGACTTTGCAGGGTTGAGAGGTTTATGTTGCTGTCATGGATTCTGCTGCCTAGATTGATAACAGGTGATATGTCCAGTTTTCTCCCTATCTTTAGGTTTTGGAGCAGTTTGATTCAACTCAGTGGCCTGCCAGGCTCTTTCAAAGGACAGTTAAAAGTCAACCACATTACTGTGGATCTGGAGTCACTTGTAGGCCAGACCAGGTAAGGATGGCAGTTTCCTTCTCCAAAGGGACTTAGTGAACTAAATGGGTTTTTTTGATGATTGACGGTGGTTTCATGGTCATCATTAGGTATGCAGTTTATTCCAGATTTTTACTGAATTCCAATTTCACTATCTTCCATGGTGGGATTCTCCAGAAAATTAGCCTGGAGTACTAGTGCCACTAGTGGCAGCTCTGGAATACTAGTGACATTCCAGGGAACTGTAACCCCTGTTCAACAGAGCTGCCGGCCTCAGATTTGGTGACAGTTCTTGGTGAGTTGGATTGCTGCTGCCGGGGTCCTTAATTCCACGCTTGGCTGTCACTGGCCTTTCCAGTGCCTGTGTGGAACAAGACGCAGCAAGCCTCCCTGAAAAGGTGTGACCCTGGCCTCTTGTTGGCCAAAGCCCCAACCCCACCACCAGATTCTACCCTATGTTTGCAGATCTGGAGATTTACTCAAACTCTTCATATTCATTATCCATAACTGTAGTGATTCTAACAAGGTCAGCCAGCTGGACCTCACAGAATATGAGTTCCCTGATTAGGGCTGTTACTCTGATCCAATCAGGGAGCTTTGGCTGACATGAAGGGGTGAATGTCAGGGATATTGGGCCCCATGAATGCCTGACTCAGTGAGAGGTACTACTATTGGCAAAGGCTATGCATTTGTAAACAAACAGTGATGGGATGCCAGCCTCTGCAGAGTTATTTCACTTATTATTCCTGTAAAGAGTTGTGGGCTTTGTATTGAGGGCAGGAATGATATGTAAGGGCCCCAGACCATTTCCATCAGAAAGCTTTTGCTCTCTCCCACTTTTTGATCTCCCTCTTTCTGCCTTTACATTGCCCTTCAGATACTTAAGAAAGTGCTTTCTGCCCCTCGGCTTATTGTGAATGCACTTACATCCCCAGTGGGCTCAAGCTGATCACTACAAAACAGCATATTATGCCCTAAAATAAACAAAGTGCTGTGAATGCCGGAAATCTAAAAAAAACGTGGTGACAATTAGTAGGTTGTAACAAAGTTGATAATTTGAGTCCAGTGACCCTTTCCCAGTTTTGATGGAGGGTCCCTGGTCTCGAAAGGTTAACTTTCTTTTCTCTCTACAGATATTGCCAGGCCTGCAGAGTTTCTCCAGTACTCTCTGTTTTGGTAATACATTATGCCAGCTCTTTACCAAATCCAACCATTTTACATCTACCACAGAATATGTGAGGCACGCATTTATGGAACAGGCACTACTAACACTCCTCCATGGCCAATGTAAAAGCAGCTCTGGTCTTTCCAGGATCTAATCCAATTCAAAAGATAGATCAAAGGGAAAACTTCTGGCTCATTTAAATTCTTGTGATGGGATACATCCGATGTGTAGTAGGCTTAATGTCGTGTTGTGCATGAAATTTAAAGAGAGTTATCCCTCTGTTGGCAGAACACATTGTATGTAATTTCAACTTTTTTTTTATTGAAACAAACCAGGAGAGATTTAAAATGAGCTGCCAATTCTATACCACACACCATTTTCCAGTACTGCACAAAATCATAATTACTCCTGTTTCATCATGCCTCAGTGAATGGCACAAATGTGCCCTGGCAGAATGATGCTTCTTAATGTAATACTCCCAGCCGTGTCACTGGGGAAGCAGAGAGCGGAGCCAAGGCCCGTTATTGGGAAGGAGAGAAAGATGAAAGAATCGGGCAGATGTCAACTTCAGGGTAGAGTGCAGAAGTAAAAAGAAAATATAACCTATGGCTTTAGCCAGGGGACAGTATCACAGGAAACCTAAAGAGGAAGCAGGCAGAAATGCAAAAGAAAATGCTAAATAGCTATCAAAATATTGGTAGAAGGAGAAATTGCACAGAACAAAGCAAACGCACTTTCTAGGTGAATAACAGTGACATTAGCAATAACATCTCAACTGTCACTGCTTTTAACGTCTTTGCCTGAGGAAGCCATCAGACTTAATCGATCCTATAAAGTATTCAAGAGACTGCTCGCAGTTTGTTACTCTCTAATCTAACAATGGTTCTTAATTCTTCATAAAACTATTCATTTTCAAATCATTACCAAGACTAAAGTTGTGATAGTTGTTGTGCATTTAAAGCCAGAATAAACTAGCTTCTCAGTGACTGAAGAAGTGACCACCTGTTTACTAATCTAAATGTGCAAGGTTCCAGACATGAGTCAAAGGTTTCAACTGACAAGCACTACAGTAATCAGACATTCACGGAACACAACTAGGCAATAAATTGGATTTAGTATCACCCCTTTGTCCGGAGAGATTCTTTGTGATGGTACAGAAAAGGGTGCCAGCAAACACTTTCTTTCATCTTGCACCACTCAAAAGCAAGAAATAGTGTAATTGGAGCAGTTTCAAAACAAGTCTCAATTTCATCCTGACATTTTTTTTTCCTCTATCCATTCACAGGATGAGGGTGTCGCTGGCTAGGGGGCATTTAATGCCCATCCCTAATTGCATAGAGGGCAATTAAGAGTCAACCACATTGCTGTGGGTCTGGAGTCACATGTAGGCCAGACCAAGTAAGGATGGCAGTTTTCTTCCCTAAAGGGCATTAGTGAACCAGATGGGTTTTTCTGACAATTGACAATGGATTCATGGTCATTGTTAGACCCTTAATTTCAGATATTTATTGAATTCAAATTCCACCGTCTGCCATGGTGGGATTCAAATTCTGATCCCCAGAACATTATCTGGGTCTCTGGATTAACAGTCCAGCGATAATACCACTAGGCCATCGCCTCCCCATACTAAATGATATTAAATGACTAAATGATATTGCACCCTGTAACATGCATTGGTACTCCATTCACAGGGTAACATTGCTTTTGAAAGACTTGTTTACTTCCTCAAGCATCTTTAAATTTTTGATAACTGTTATTTTTTAGAGTCACTCACTTTCTGAGATTAGGAACAATGACCAGAAGGTATCCCACTCAGAAGGTCAACAGTTTAGCAGTCTGTGAGAGAGGTCTATCCACTGAGGCTGACAGACCAGCATGGCCCAAAAAAATCTTTTATTAAACCACAGGACAGAGATCTGGAAGGGAAACCCCTCTCGGAAAATCAATGGGTTACTGGGCCTGCATTCCCTACTCACTGCCATATTTTTCT